TATATCACAGCATTTTGAACATCACTGAGCAGTATTCAGGCAGAGGTCTGTGGACGTTGAAATGAAGCACCTACTCTTAAAACCTACCTGAAAAGATGTTTACTGTTGCCTGCGTAGGTGAAAGAGCAATAAAGGACTTTGAGTTTGGGAGATTCACTCTACCCCTTACCACTTTTAAACGCAGACACTAGGAACAAACTGACCAATACTTTGAAGATTACATTAGATCTTGAACTAGTGAAGCAAATGTATCATATGAGGTTAACAGAATCAGAAATTTTGGCTAGTGAAGCTTTATCATGTCTGTCTTAAAACAATCATTTTGACAAAATATTTCTCCTTGAACTTTAGGTAATTTTTGCCTTCATTTAAAATAAAAGTCTGGTGGGTGTGGTGGTGCAGGCTTTTAATCCCGGCACTTTGGGAGGCTAAGCCAGGTGGACTGCCGGAGGTCAGGAGTTCAAGACCAGCCTGGCCAACATAGTGAAACCTGGTCTCTACTAAAAATACAAAAAATTAGCTGGGCATGGTGGCAGACGCCTGTAATCCCAGCTACTTAGGGGGTCTGAGGCAGGAGAATCACTTGAACCTAGAAGACAGAGGTTATAGTGAGCCAAGATCATGCCGTTGCACTCCAGCCTGGGCAACAAGAGCGAAATGCCATCTCAAAAAATAATAATAATAGTAAAATAAAAAATAAAAGTCTGACCATTCTTCCATAGTAAGATACAAACTTGGAAATAGTGTTGATCATTTTTGAATTGCTGTCCCCTCAGTGGTTTATTTGATTTCCAAAGGAGAAAACTAAATATAATTCTTGTCATTCACTTACAATTTACTGTCTATTGCTCATGGTGATTTTCTTTAATAGTATGATATTTTTTATTTTCTCTCTGACACCATAATATTCCATTTACTTTTAAAATGGTAGTCTCATCAGGTTCTAAGATCAGGTTGCTTATTGGTCAGGCAAAAATACTCGTGGATTCTAAATTACATTTTCTCCACAGCATGTTATTATCAAGTCACCAGTTTAGTATTTGACCTCAGATAACACTGAGGTCCATTTTGCTAATATGCTCTCTCACTATATTTCAGTTTATTACAGAATATTCTGAAAGATACAAATTTATTTATAACTCATGGTTGAATTCCCATTGTAAATCCTCTAGTTCTTTAGAGTCACAGTAAAACTAGCAACCGGCCTTTCAACATTTGCAGTAGCATAATGTGGCTTTCCACAAGCCACACTTGTTTTGAAAATGATTGCATATTTAAAAGATCCCATTGTCTCAGCCCAAAATCTACTGAAACTGATAAGCAACTTCAGCAAAGTCTCAGGATACAAAATCAATGTGCAAAAATCACAAGCATTCCTATACACCAATAACAGACTTAAAGAGAGCCAACTCAAGAGCGAACTGTCATTCACAATTGCTACAAAGAGAATAAAATACCTAGGAATATGACTAACAAAGAATGTAAAGGACCTCTTCAAGGAGAACTACAAACCACTGCTCAACGAAATAAGAGAGGACACAAACAGATGGAAAAACATTCCATGCTCATGGTTAGGAAGAATCAATATTGTGAAAATGGCGATAATGCCCAAAGTAATTTATAGATTCGACACTATCCCCATCGAGCTACCAATGACCATCTTCACAGAGCTGGAAAAAACCACCTTAAACTTCATATGGAACCAAAAGAGAGCCCGCATAGCCAAGTCAACTCTAAGCAAAAAGAACAAAGCTGGAGGCATCATGCTACCTGACTTCAAGGCTACAGTAATCAAAACAGCATGGTACTGCTACCAAAACAGAGATATAGACCAATGAAACAGAACAGAAGCCTCGGAGGCAACGCCACACATCTACAGCCATCTGATCTTTGACAAATCTGACAAAAGCAATGGGGAAAGGATTCCCTGTTTAATAAATGGTGTTGGGAAAACTGGCTAGCCATATGCAGAAAGCAGAAACTGGACCCCTTCCTGACAGCTTACACTAAATTAACTCCAGATAGATTAAAGACTTAAACATAAGACCTAACACCATAAAAACCCTAGAAGAAAATCTAGGCAAAACCATTCAGGACATAGGCGTAGGCAAGGACTTCATGACTAAAACACCAAAAGCATTGGCAACAAAATCCAAAATAGACAAATGGGACCTAATTAAACTCCAGAGCTTCTGCACAGCAAAAGAAACAATCATTGAGTGACTTGGCAACCCACAGAATGGGAAAAAATTTTTGCAATCTACCCATCTGACAAAGGGCTAATATCCAGAATCTACAAAGAACTAAAACAGATTTCCAAGAAAAAACAAACAAGCCCATTCAAAAGTGGGCAAAGGATATGAACAGATACTTTACAAAAGAAGACGTATATGAGGCCAACAAACATATGAAAAAATGCTCATCATCACTGGTCATTAGAGAAATGCAAATCAAAACCACATTGAGATACCATCTCACGCCAGTTAGAATGGCGATCATTAAACAATCTGGAGACAACAGGTGCTGAGAGGATGTGGAGAAATAGGAACACTTTTACACTGTTGGTGGGAGCGTAAATTAGTTCAATCATTGTGGAAGACAGTTTGGCAATTCCTCAAGGACCTAGAAATAGAAATTCCATTTGACCCAGCAATCCCATTACTGGGTATATATCCAAAGGATTATAAATCATTCTATGGTAAGGACACATGCACATGAATGTTCATTGCAGCACTGTTTAGAATAGCAAAGACTTGGAGCCAACCCAAATGCCCATCAATGATAGACTGGACAGGAAAAATGTGGCACATATACACCATGGAATACTATGCAGCCAACAAAAACGATGAGTTCATGTCCTTTGTAGGAAGATGGATGAACCTGGAAACCATCATTCTCAGCAAACTGACCCAAGAACGGAAAATCAAACACCACATGTTCTCACTCATAGGCGGGTGTCGAACAATGAGAACATATGAACACAGGGAGGGGAGCATCACACACTGAGGTCTGTAGTGGGGAACTAGGGGAGGGACAGCGTGGGGTTGGGGAGTTGGGGAGGGATAACATGGGAAGAAATGCCAGATATAGGTGATGGGGAGGAAGGCAGCAAACCACATTGCCACGTATGTACCTATGCAGCAATCCTGCACGTTCTTCACATGTACCCCAAAACCTAAAACATAATAAAAAATGTGTGTGTGTGTGTGTGTGTGTGTGTGTGCGCGCGCGCGCGTGCGCGCCCACGCGCACTAAAGAGGCTGACTCAGCATTCTGAGATGGTCAGGCATTGTATTCCCCCCACCAAAAGAAATTTTTATGTATCTCATATCTCAAATTACAGGTTATCTGTATGCAAAAATTGCAGATAGTTCATCTATGATACTAACTCCTGGCAATTCAATAAAAGCTTTTTGTAACATGTTTTTCTTCATTTAATATTTTGTTGCTTTTACAATATCTACAAACTAATTCATAAACAATGTCACACTTTTAATCATTTTACTTTGGAACATACTTTATTCTCCACACTAAGCTACTGGGCAAAAAGAAACTTTTATAAGAAATGCAGAAATAAAATTGCTAAAATCTAATTACAAAACAAAAATATTTGGGGTTTGATTTTAAATGTTTTAATTAGAAAAGGAAAAGCAACTTTAAGTGGAGGTTGCTATACTTAGCCACATTACTATTAACATATATTACTATGTTAACACAATAATAATTCTTTGTCCTTTTCATACGGAAAATAGATTGTAAAAAAGAGAATGATCTTTTTTCTACTAAATGTTAAGCAATAAAAGCATATTGCTTTATGTGACCATTTAAGACCTATGATCACTTTTAAAATTCAACAATGCTTAGACACACTTAACAAGTCTTAATGCTTTGTAGTCTGTGCCATACAAACACAATAAAGATTACGCAGATTTTTTTTTTCTAAAACTTTTTAATTATTTTCTAGTTTCACTAGAAACGAGTGTAAGATTCTATTTCTACCACAAGGTGTCAGTCCATGGTAATTTAATCTTCAAAGGGCTTGAAAATAATCCATGGAAATTCAATGACTACAGAAAATACTTACATTAAAACATGAAGTCTTTGGTGCTCTCACAGTAAATAAAAAACAATCACAGAAACTGTGGTTGAGCGTTTATTTTCCTTTGCATTTTCTACTCAGCTTAGTTCTGAGAATGTTGTACACCAAATCCCCAGAATTTTGTAATTCATGTCTCAGACACTATCCTGAGGCTCGTTCCAACGGAGAGAAGTAACTCCCCCGCTCAAGTTCTGTTTTTCTAAAACTTTGAAATACTAACAGTTAACTTTGCCTTAGGTCTGGAATACTTCATTGAGCTAGGATATGGAAAGCTGCACTTAAAAGCTGAGGCAAGGGAGGGCCGGAGTAAACATTGGGTTTAAGGGTTTTTTCGGCTGGGGAGCGGAGTTTGTGCCATTAAAGGTACACTATGTAAACAATTCAGGGAGCAAGTCACTCTCAGAAATTCAGCTTCGGATTCCTCAAGCTGTAAATCACAGACACTTCACGACGGCTGTTAGGTTTTAAATAAGCTAACGTGTAGGAGGGTTTGTAAGCTCTAAACGACCCATCTCAAAGTGTGACCTGGGAATGCTTCCATACCTCCTGGGAACTTGTTAGAAATGAGAACCTCAGACCCCATGCCAAACATACTGAACCAGAAACTGAGTGGACAGCCTGACAATCGGTGTTTTAATAAGCACCCAGGGAATTCTGATACATGCTAAAGTTTGAGAATCACTGCTCTAGAGAAATGCACAAACGTTACTTATTGGAGATTAAACAAAAGGCGAAGGGGTGGAGGGCGCGGAACAGACCTCAGGGGCAGGGCAGAGAGCATTCGAGAGGAACCTGGGAGAGGCCGAGGTGCGACTTAAGGAGCCGTATACCCGCTGTCCCCGCCTCTTGGACGGTCCCGAACCCTCGGAAGCCGGCCGCCAGCAGGTGGCGCTGGACGCGCAACTGACCTGGAGGCGGAGCCTGCAGCAGGCGTGGAGACTCGGCGCTCGGGAGGCTCGGGCTCCGCGTGGGGTCTGCACCTCCGGGCAGCAGCTGCAGCCGAGACTCACGGTCAAGCTACGGCGAAGAGTGGGTGAGTCCCTTGGATCGTTCTCACTGGCCGCTTGCTCCTCGAGTCCGCCCGCGTGTCCCTGCAAGGCTGGGCGCCGGCTCCCAGTTTTGGGAGGGGTGTAGCGGGTCGCACGCCTTCTCGGGACCTGGGCGGCGGCGCTCCTGGGCGAGCGCTGCTCAGTTCTCCCTTTATGTGCCTCTCCGGGAAGCGCTGCCTTCCAGCCCAGCTCGGCGGTGGCCGGGCGGCGGGTTGTGGGGAGCCAGAGTCACAGGAAGCCTTTTCGGTAGGGGCTTAAGGTTGTAATGGATTAGTAAGTTTGTTCTCAGGTTGGGTTTTGATATCAAGTGTTTTAACGTGGCAAAGTGGCCAGTTTGCTGTGGGTTGACGAATGATTGGTGCACTAGTACTTAAAATCGTGCTACTTCTCGGCTTGGGGTTTCCTAGTAACAGGTTTTCCTTTTTAGTCGTTAGAACACTGGCCCTACTCTTTCAGGATGTGGGTGGGGTTCGGGTTCTCTCCAAAATAGTCAATCAAGGCTTTAAATATGCAATTCTGGTCAAATCCACTGAAAGGAGTTTGTAGACATAATTTTTTTTTTTTACTTTATTTCTTACTTTACTTTTG